GGTGTTTAAAGTTGGACCAATTCAAAATTTATTACGCATTTTAGTGATCTTTAAAAAAAAAACAATGTACATCTTCAATTGCAACTTTTCAAGATATGATTTTAGCAAGGTGTAACATCCTGATTTTTATATAATAAAGAAATTGTGGAATTTAGAAATTTATATTGTTTGAGGTTATTTAGAAATAATATTATGGTTAGGTATTTAATTATGAATTTAAAAATTTAAATTTAAAACCACATAAGCAATATTTAGTTAAGATATAATACATAAATAATTTTTTTATGTGTGTGTTAAAAAAAAAAGAGAGAAGGTAGAAGGAACAAAAAAAAAGGATGGAAGGTTGTTGTTTTTAAGTCCCACATTGGTTAGATGAGGGAAGAGAAGAGGTGCCTTCATGTATAAAAAGGAGGGGGTGTGTGCATTAGGAAACATGAGAAGCTAAAATACAATTTAGATAAAATTGCAACTTATGGCCCAAAGGTTTGAATAATTAAATTCAGACCTATAGTTTTTTCTTAATATAATTTTGGGACCCACAATCCCATTTTTATATTATTTTTCTCTCTTCCTCCCACGTTGCTCGGCGTTTTCTTACAAGGGAGGATTATTTTCTTTTTCTTCAGGTATGTTCTAACTTTCCTGTTTAGATTAGCATTTAAAAGTTTATTTAATTACAAAATTAATTTTATAGTTATTTTCTAAATAATATTAGCTTTCTAATGATATGATTATTTTGTAGGATAGAGTAAATATTCTGATTAGAATTTTTCTATAGGATAGTTAATCTGATGATATGATAGATTAAAAATATAGGTTAAAACTGTTAGGGATATAATAAATATTATAGAATATTTTCTTGAGGTTAAAACTCATGTTTAAGAATTTTTGAGTTAAAATCTAGATCTATGTTGTTAAATTTATGTGAAATCTGAGATATAGGGATGAACCTCTAATTATTAAATATTTATTTAAGTATGAATAGGTATTTTTGAGGTTATAGAAAGGTGATTTGAGGCTTCAGGATAATTCTAAAATTTTTAATTTATTTTTGGATGAATTTTTAGAATATAGAAGGATGAAATTGTGATACTAGAAGTGATTTGAGGATAAAAAAATAGTTTATTAGGGTACGAGAATTTTAGAAAAGAATTTGAAAAGTTAAATGAGGCATAAATTTTAAGTTAGTGTTAATATGGATTATAAATCTAAGACTTTCTAACTCTTTAAATTAGAGTTATTTATTAATTTTAATGTAAAATTAATATATAGTATTGTGAAATAATTATGTAGATTATATTGACAAAGATAGTGGTGAAAAAGGAGTTGTGAAGGGAAACTTATTATTCAAGACACAAGGTAACCATTATTAATGTGTTGTGATGGGTGTGTTTGTGAATGGTTATGTGTTGTTTTTATTATTTGGAAAAATTATAAATTATTAAAAATAAATACTGTATATACTTGTTTGAAATTATTGCCAAGTGGGTTAAAAAATTTATTTTTGTTTATCATGATGAGATATTATTGTTCGGATATATTCCTGTTTGGATATTAGAATGATGCATGACTTGTCAGGGTATTTTAATGTATGGTATTAATGGAAATTTCTATTCGGTTAATTATTACCACGTGGTAAGCCCTCATTGGACCTAATGAGTGGCGTGTCGTTTGGTCCAACTCACCTTTGGCCGGGTGATTTGGTGTCTGAGCATGGCGAAAGGAGGATATAAGGTGTAGTCATGCAAATTAAATAATTGTTCAGTTTGTTTGAAAATATTGTTTAGTTAAATGTTCTGTGTGCCCACTTAGCAATCGCATGATTAGTTACAACCGCATGCATCATTACATATTAATTTTTGGTTACTGGGACTTTTAAGTCTCATTCCTCGTGGTTAATATTTTTACAGGAGCGAGTCCGGCCGAGAAAGCACCAGAGGTGTAACTATGGTGTATGAGACACCATCTTTTACGTTGCCTCTTATTTTGGATTATATAATATATCTTGTGCCAACTTAGGACATATCTTCTTTGTGGAGCATGTAAACTCTAATCCTTTTTATTAAATGCATTTATATGTCCAAGAGGATTATGTCTGTCCCTTTTGATTCATGACCTAATTTGAATAACATGCTATGAGGATCACGTCTGTTCCTCATGGTTTTAATTGCTTTTTGAGATATTTTAAGACCTGTGGTATATTGTCTTGGATGTATCATGGTAGAAATTTTTCTACCATGATAAGGGTATGATAAGGGTTCAATGAAAAAAAATGATTTGTTGAATTAATAATTTGTGAAAAATCAGTTTGTAAATTTGAGGGTGTTACACAAAGCTAATTAAGGAGAGTCTTATAAAGACTAGAAAACGAAATTGTATGCAGAAATTTATTTATTCTGCATTCACTATTTTTACCTTCTCTAAATTTTATAATAAAAAATTAGATAAATAGACCTTAGACGCATGTTTATGTTTAGGAGAATCAATTGACAGTAGAGAGTAACACAAAAATAACTGAAGCTATTATCATTAATTACTAAATTATTTTCACAGTTTAATTTTTCCTCTTTTTTTTGCCAAAATAATTTTTCTATTCAAAAATTCATTTAAAACTAATTTAGAAAATTTTAAAGCTTCCAAATGCATATCATGTGGCTGGTAATAAATTATAGGCATTACCTTAAAGATGCCTATATAGTACATAAAAAAATTGAATAAAGATTAACTTTGAGAGAAAGTTTTTTCATTACATTTCTTATATGACAAAGTGACTTTAGTCTTCTTTAATGATAAAATGACTTTACTAAAGAAATATTTTATATTTATACGAAATGATTTTAATAATTTTTTTCTTTTAGAACAATTTTTTTTATCTTTTTAATTTCATCGAGTTATTAACTTAATCCTTATAACAATTTAAAAAACTATAGGTCAGTCCCTCTTATTTTTGAAACCTCAATTTAGTTTCTAAATAGTCTAACTCAGATCTAACTCAAAATCACATCAGTCTATAAGTTAGACTATTTAGAAATTGGGTTTGAGGTTTTGGTAAACTAGAGAAACTAAATTGAAGTGTAGGGATGGGATTGTCAACCCAATGAATTATAAGGATAAATAAAATAATTTTTCCTTTCCTTTTTTTTTAATTTTATACCAAACTGTCCTTTATCAACTTGGAAAATAAACCTCAGGTTTGAAGTTAAACACTAATTTTTTTTTTTTGGGGCATGTAAATGAGCCCTTGGAGACGTAATTAAAACTTTTCTAGGAACAAATAAAAGCGATTTGAAACTAAAGATTCTATTTTTTTTTTGTCCAAGAAAGTAAAGACTTTCCATTCCTTAGTTGGTCCTTCGGCCCATAAGTTTGGGTCACTAGTTATGGTTTTGAAAACATATATAGGCTACGACCAGCTTTTATTGGACTCTTGGCCCAAGAGATTCTTGGAAACAAAAAGCCTAAATATTGGAGGATCATAATTAAAATTTTCAAGGAAAAATAATTTTTTAAAACGTCTCAGCTTAAATGGTGTCGGTAATTTAAATACCGAAATTCCTTTGGCAACGTGGCGTGTGCGTGTTTGGTTGGAGGTTTTGCTTGCTTAGAAAAATAAAAGGGAAACCATGTTTGATTAGAACAAAATGGCGGGAAAGAATTTTCCCTCCCCCTTCAATTTGGGGAAATTTGGAGGAATTATTAAAATTCCTTACCTCCCCTTTATCAATACATATTTTCCCTTACCTTCCTTCCATTAAAATGTCTATTTGTTTATATCAATTTAGCTTTAATCTTCCACTCAAATCTTTGCACATAGATTTTTTTTATAAGAAAAAATCACATGAATAACATTTCAAAATTTTGTTAGACCAATATTAATAATAAAATCTCATAAAATTCGATTGAAATTTGGGCCTAATTAATATAAGCAAATGACCTAGGTTTTGTATTTTTTTTTTTTAATATCCTATGTAATTCTTTCCTATAGGAAAGAGGATCATAAGCACATGCATTTCATACACACCCACATAGTATACCTCACCAAAATCCTGCACACAAGATTTTTGTCCCCTTTAGCCACATGGGAGTATGATCATTTTGCCTCTCATTGACAGGTAGGATCACAAGGATGGGTCTTACTAGGCCAAAGGATCATTAGCACCTAGATTCTGTCATTAACGTCAACTGTATTGATCAATGATCCTTCATTATATAATACAGATTTTTTATATATGTATATAAATTTAGGTGATTTATATCTCGAAACTCACCAAGGACAAGGCATGGATTTAGTTCAAAAAACATTTATGTAAATACATACTAATCACTCATTAACAAAGTTCTTACATTGACAATGAAATTTTTACAGATTAGGGATCCAATTCTTATCAATTCAACTAAAATTAGTTAATTATTGAAGGATTATTAATTAACGTACAAAACTAAAGTTAGGGCTGACCTTAAAAGAAAGGCCTTCTCTTTGTAATAACTAGTCATATTAGATTAGGTCCAAGTAATAATAAGCAAGAGTTACGTAAGGCATGTACTGCAAGCACTAATAAGGCACAATTTTGTTCTGTTGTTTAATGAAAAGAAAAGATAAATTGTCAGATACATTATGAATGCACTAACATTTAGTATTCACACAACAATTTTATTTCTTAAAAAGATGAATATCTTACAAAAGTACATACCTTCAATTTTTTTTATAAATTATTTTTTCTAATCTTATCAATATCAATATAAAAGAAATATAAGAAATAAAAGTGTATAAAATTTTAAATATATCCTCATATTATAAATTCAAAAGTGATGTTATATTATTTTTTTTATAAAAAATAATTTTAAAAATATTTTTTAACTATTACATATAAAGTCGCACCCCGTAATTTATAAATAGAATTAAATTAATGTTTTAAAATATGATTTATAAATGAGATGAGTAATTGATTATGCAGTTTCCAAGTTCTAACTGAGTCTACGGTAAAGTTGAAGGCTTGAAGAAGCTTTGGTCTCGAATAGATTCATCCCTTGTATCAAATGTATAGTACAAGTCACAGAGACAATTGAAGAGCTTAATAAAAAGAACCAATCCTAATGTTAATTGAAGTTATGCAGAAAGGAACGTATCCGTGTTCATCGCATGAATGAGGCTAGAGGTGTTCCGTTTCAGAAAACTAAGTATCTCTTTCCAGTTCCTCAACATCTCTAAACCCAAGTAGCAACGAGAAGACAAAGAAGGCAGAATCATACAAAATTCTAAGAAGGGGCTAAACAAGAGGCTTAGCACTCAATCGGATTGCTGAGACGATTCTTCTTTTAACTCATTCAGTCTCTCTTGCTTCTTCCTCTGCAATTCGGCTTCATAATTTCTCAGTCTTTCATTCATTTTCTCCTGTAATCAACCATTAGTTAGACTTGAAGCAAGACAAGAAGAGAAACAGACATTGAAAAAAGCACATGATTTCAAATCCCATGAGGTACCTTCAAAATCCGATCGATCTCAAATCTTATTGATTCCAGAAAGAAGGAAGGAAAGAAAGAGGCGAGGGATTACCTTATAATTATTTTCAAGGCGATGCATAACGTAGAATCCGAGAATCCCTCCGACGATTGTTCCGGTGATGATCCGAATGTATGCCCATTTATGAGATGGATTCCTCATCGATTCAATTTCTGCCTCTTCCTGCTTGAGGCGACCAATTTTCAGCAGTTCAGGATTCGGATATTATTGCATGCGGATCGGAAAGGCACGACGGGACGACACCAGAACAAACTGGGACCACGGGGTTTGAAGAAGGTTTAGGGCAAAATTGGGTCGGAAATGTTACGTAGCCCAATACCCAAACTAAAGCTGACTGACCCAGGATTGCCGTTAAAGCCCAAAAACAAAGCTCTTAGCCCAAGATTCCCTTTAAAGCCCAAAGACAAAGCTCAATGGCCCAAAGCCCCCGTTAATTAATCAAAACTAAGACCAAGGAATGCCAATGCCATTTCAAATATAATAAATTGGACAATTATTAGCCTTAAATTATAATTCTTTGAAACTTCTATTAAATGGGTCAAAAAGTGCACGGCACACCTTTGATCTATTAACTATTTATACCAAAGAAATTATTTTGGTCACCTAATTTTATCAAATATCTTTTCAATCATTTAACTTTAATATCATTAATTTTATTGACAAAAAAATTAGAAAAAAACTTATATACTTAAACTAATATATTTAATATGTTTGTATCTAATTGAATCAAGATTTATGAATCTTTTATAGATTATTTTTTTATAATAAATTCTCGTTATGAATTAAATTAATACATTAAGATTCACATGTCATAATTTAATTTGTATTTAATTTGATATAAGTATATTAAGTATATAAGGCTAAACACATAAGTCTTACCCAAAATATTAACATTGAACTGTTAAATGTTGATATTATTAAATATTGACATATTAAGTTTATTTTTTAAAAATAACAATGGTTGACAAAAGATCATCATTTGATACTAATAATGTTAAGATTAAAAGATTGTAAAGATACTTTATAATATTAGGGAATCAAAATAAAATTTATATAAAATTAGAAAACCAAAGGCACGCTTTTCCCAATATACAAGAATGCAGGAGGGAGTAGATGCTTGCATTGTAATTAAGTTGGGTTGGATTGTCTTGGCTGAAGTATATGTAATAACTCTCCTAAAACAAATAAACAGTTCTGCTAAGAACTACATTGTTGTAATTCAATACCGGCATTTTAACTTCAACAATCAATTATCACTGTCTACCTAAGCATTTTTGGGGCCAACTCACTGTCTATGTTAGCATCAATCAATGATAAAGATGTCAGATGACCTAACTGAAACCCAATGTCATCCACTTATAACATTATAATAACCTTAATCACAGCTTTGAAATATATTTTCCAGCTAGATCCAAATTATGGCTCAAGCTGTAACTAATATGGATCTCATATATATATATATATATATATATATAGCTACATGAAAAGGCAGAAACCAAATATATAAAAGCAAAATGTGTGAACAAACTATAATGTGTGGGTTCGATATATCGTTTTCTTTTTCTTCTTTCGGCTTTGCTTCCTGCTTTAAGATATTGACTGTATCATTCCTCCGCCAAACTAACGTACAAAAAATCAAACTTTACTACTTCTTCATATCTATATTTGGTTAAAAGTTCTTCAATGCAGATCCAAAAGAAACTGTGGATCGATGAGTTATATGATGAAAAAAAGAATAAAGCTACAGTATGTGTGTACAATGTGTGTCGTGTACACGAAAAAGGAATGGTACTGTGTATATGTGATTTATGTAATCTGAGAATTGGATTGTTTTGTTTTGTTTTTTTTTTTTTTTAAAGGAAGGGACTTTTCGATGTTGTTTGAATTTGATGCTTTGACTTTTTGGACTTTCACAAGCAAACTCCTCTTTTTGGATTTAAAAGATGGGTTTCCCTACTCACATGGTTTGTTCTTGAGCTATCACCATTCAACTTTGCCTCAAAAACATTAAAAAACATAAAAGATGCCCAAAAATTAAGGAGGGTCCCGACGTCCGAACTTATGATTAGGGTTTGTTGGCGCTACTTTTTCTTGCCCCATTTCATTGATAATACAACTTTAATTATATGACATTCATGTGAGTGAATTTGAATTAATATAAAAAATTACATATCAGATAAAGTTGTGATTAAAAAGTAACATATAATAAATTAAAATGACTCATGAACTTGTCTTGAGATTGAGTTAAGATGTAATGACTTTTTATTACTCTTATCTAATATTTGGATTTAGTGTGTACCATAAATTCGCTCAGTAGTCAATGAGTTTTTCAATTATAACAACTAGATTTTATTAACATTTAAAATTTTGGAAACAATCATCATGTATATTGTTCTCTTTAAAAATTTGAGATTCATTACTTTTTATGCATTATATGATGAAAAAAAATCTCTAACAATTATTCAATTAAATCAAATAACTGTTATTATATTATAATATAATACTAATTAATTTATTTTTTTAAAATAATAATGATTGACATAAAAATAATCATTTAAAACTAACGATATTAGGATTAAAGGATTAGAAAAATACTTTATGAAATTGAATGACTAAATTGAAAATTTATATAAAATTTAAAAATTGAAAGTATAATTTAGCCGTTAAATTAAATAATTGTTGTTGCGGGGAAAAAAGATTAAATAGTTGTTATCATATTATGTATAAGATAGTATTAATTGATTAGATTTATGTCACTCACTGGATTCAGATTCCTCTTGCATGTTTATTCTCTCCTCATGCTTCCAAGCAGTGGCCGCCGTTCCTAATATTATACCATACCATAATTTTCATTTGATTGAATATATATATATATATGAGATCAAGAATTTAATTCATGGATATGTCAATTCATGGAAGCTTTTGTGTTGTAAATAGAACACACCTTCCCAGCTTATCTTTATTCTTCGAATTGTGAGCGTCATGTTACCACTTATGACTTCTTTTTGGTGATCACTTTTTGTTTGTTTTAATTTGTACGTAAAAATAGATTCCTGGAAACGCGAGAAGCCATGGAAGCTCCGTGCTTTTACTGCCACGTCACGATCGAGAAGCGCCCGGGGGCGAGAACCTGAGGACGTGGCATGAAGGGAGAGGCTCGAGACGGTGCACCAGTGGGTGAGCATAAGGCCAGACTTTAAGGGCATTTGTCTTTCATGTGAGATGGTTGGAACTTGGAAGAACTTGAAGGTGATGGAGAGAGAAGGCACATGGAGACTAAAAAGGTCATCTTCCCAGAAAAGAGAACACACATTACAGCCAAAAAGATAATAAAGAAGAAAAGGGGAAATAAAAGGGGGGAAATAAAATAAAAGAAAGAGAGAAAAGTAAAAAAGAAGATGAAACAGCCCACGCTTCACTGTCGTAGCTACAGATACTAGATAGTGCTCTACTTCTTCTTCCGTGAATTCTCTTCTATGTGGTATTTAAGAATAAAGGAATCAATTATCAACTCATTAATTTATATGTTAATTTATAAGTATACTTGGATGTGGATGTGGATGTGATGATAGTGCCATGGTGATGATGACGGCCAGGGGGCAGGGGGATAGACATTGGAAGGTCCAAATTAAAGTGATATATATACGCATTGTTTTGAGAATTGAGTTGGATCGATGGGATGATTGATAGTAGTTATTAATAACTCAATTTAAATTAAAAAATTATTTTTATGGTACGCATTGTTTTGAGAATTGAGTTGGATTGATGGGATGATTGATAGTAGTTATTAATAACTCAATTTAAATTAAAAAATTATTTTTATGGTCAAACCAGATTAAATTAAAGTTGAGTTGCTACTGAGCCCGATGTCAAAGTTGAATGAAGAACCACAGTAATTTTGAGAAAAATTTGATATATCTAAATATAATATTAAAAATGCAAAAAAAATTTAAAAAACAGGAAAATAAAAAAATTAAGCCCTACCCAAAGTCAACTTTGTTAATTAATATGATTTGGGATCATAAGATATTAACAACTATAAGTGTAAATGCAGATGTTTTTGTGTCTACTCTTACATGATTTAACCAATATTCATTTATATATATAACAAGTTGTAAAATTATAATTTATAATATTGTTGACTTATACTCATGTCATGTTATTTTATTAACAACAAGACATACAATGAATTCATTTTGCATTTTTATTTGATTATTATATTGTCAGTTCGACCATTAATCTAATTGGTCAGACCATAAAAACTAGACAAGCTAACCTTTTCAATTTAACATATAGTTTGTCTTTTAAAATATTATTATCACATCAGGTTTTATTTATAAGACAGAGATGATAGTTTTTGTCTTATTTATAAATCATATCATTAATTTTTTTATACAAGATTTTTGTTTTATTTGTATTTAAATGTTGGTGAAAGAACATTTTTTTAATATATATATATATATAAACTAATAAGGATAAAAAATTTATTAAATTTTTACATAGAGTGAATATTAATTTTAAATTTTGTTTTGATTTTGATAAAACATATTAAACATAATTTATAAATAAGATTTGAAAAAAATAGTTTAGAAATCAAAAATGAAAAAGAAGGGAGAGCTTTTGGGTGATGACAATTGACAAATGAACATTTTCAAGGAATCCTGTGGATGTCTCTGTCTCTTTCCTCTTGGCATTTCTCTATTAGGTGTGAAATCGCTTCTACACTCATCTTCCGATTATTTCCGTGCCCTCGTCATAATTTGAAATAGAGTCGAAAATAGAGTTAAATTTAAAAGGTAAGACCTAACAGCTTTATTTAAATAAAAGTTTAAATTTTAAAAATTAATTTTTTTAATTAATCAAGCTTAAGGGCCTGACCCTGGTAGTAAAAAAAGGCTCGGATTCAGGCTCGGCCTATTCTTTAAACCCTGTTATATTATTATTATTATTATTTTTTGGTGGAACACAATTTTCAAACTAAAAAGGACCTACTCGTCAGAAACTTTGATCCTATACACGTTATATTATTATTTATTTTAATTTATTCTAAAATTAAATTAGTATAATTTAATAAATATTAGTGTACAGTATAAAATTTTTAATATTTTTTATTTTTTTATAATTATTATGTTTTTGTATTTATAAAAACTGAACTATTTTTTTAATTAAGATTTAAATTTTTTTACTAGACTTTTAAATGTGCATTATTTAATTTTTAAAAGATTATGAGAATTATTATTTATTAATTTTAAAATATTTTAATTACTTTATATTGCGTAATTTTATTTGAATTTTT